ACAAATGGCACAGATGAATTGTGGTGTAATTATCACAGTTCTGCAGGTAGCAGTGAGTTCACTGGGCTCTTGACTGACAGAGAGAGAGAATGTTTAAGGAGGATAACGAGTAGAGACACAGATGAAATGTCTACGTTTCACTACCTCTAGGATTTCTGGATCTGTGAGCTCTCCATCCAGAAGATCCATGTTCAGCAGTCTGGATTTGTTCAAACGAGAGCCCTGGTTTCTTCTTGCAGATGAGCATCGCGGAGCAAACATGAACACCACCACCAGGCCCAACATGAAGCCACATGCAACCCCAACAGACAGACCTGTCACATAGGAGGGCAGGGGCAACACAAAGAAACCATAAGCTAGAAGACCCACAGGGATGAGCCAGTGAAGAGGCAGCGATGAGCCTGGGACAGTTACTTGAGACTGGGTGTAAGTTCTATGATGAGTCCCTCTGGATTCATTCTGGAGCTCCACCACCTGAATCATATCTCCATAAGTGTGGATTTCAAAATGGCTGTCTTTGCTCTGAGTGTGGCGTTCTGGGGAGATGGAGGACTTTATTAAGGAGCCCTGTTGAAGTCTTCGCAGAGGCGTGTCACACACACCTCTATGCTCGCCATCATTTCTCCTCCGGCACTTAAGATCTGCATCTTCACTGCCCCCATCTCTTCCATAGCCGCCTTGGGAGACTGGTGAGTCCCCGGCACCAGAAGCCCTCGCCTGCTTGGGGCTTTCGTCCCCCATGATCTTACTCAGCATGCTCAGTGGATCCTGCATGGCCACAGAGAACTTCCTCCGTGTGTCCTCCAGCTCCGCAATCAGCGAGCTGCCCCGGGGTTCAGTGGGAGGCATGTTGCCTGTGGAGAGAGAGGATACCCAGTCGTCATTCTCACTCAGTCGTCCTGCTTCAGGCTTGGCCTCGGGAATCTTTGGATGGATTAGCTGCTTCCAGGGATGCAAATGCAGCTTGGAGTCAGACTTGGAGAGGTTGACCTCTGGCTCAACCCGGTTAGAAATTTCCGTGCTCAGAGACTTGACCAGGCTCAGCAGAGGTTTGCCTCGTAGAGAGCTGCTCTCGCTTGGGTCCAGGTCTGTGGAGGAGGATTTCACCAGGTTGGTGGTGACAAGCAGGTCTGTTGATATATCGGCTAAAGAGCCCGGGGATGAGGGGGAGTGAGGCAGGAAGGGGGACTGGGAGCGGTGACCTTGGCTCAGATCCAAATCCATCCCGAGGCTGAGGTCAGGCTGACTCTTTCTGCCTTGTGGTTTGTCTTTGGAAAAGGCCACAGTGGGACCCTCATCATGGCGGTCCAGGCTGAAGATGAGCTTGCTCTCTTCCATGCTGGCCATCAAGCAGGAGCTACTGTGAGAATGTGGTCAACCAAACGGAGCAGCAGTCTCTGAAGACACGGAGCATGGCGCTAGCACTGGTAGACTTGTAAACATCCTTCTTGGGTTGCTTATTGTCCATCATGGTAGATGCTGGAACTGTGGTGAGACACAAGGAAAATGTGTTCTGAACAGCTAAGCAACATCCTTATGGGTAATGACACAACATTTAAGTCCCTCTGCTGGTCTGACCTTCTTCCTATTTCCGTCCTCTCCATCGCTTTTCTAATTTCCTCTCCCCTTTCGCCTCTCAACCTTCCTTCTAATCTCCTCTGTACTTTCTCCTTTGTCCTCTTTACTGTTCCTCTGCAGGGATACAGGGAACTCTGTGTGTTTCACTGTGTGTGTGTGCTGTCAGTTCACATAAAGTCTGAGGTAAGGTAGGGGTGGATGAGTACTTTGTTTCTGGAATCATTATAAGGAGTCATTAGCACAGAGACATTAATCCCGCAGTCACAGCTAATCCCAAAGTAGATGCAGTGATCTGATTTATTAGCCTTGTGTGTGCCTAATTGACACAATTGTCTTATCCAAGATTACCAGGACAACACTGGTCTTCCTCATGAGTATTTTGAAATGTTTGTGCAATTTTCTTCTTGTGTTATCTTGTGAAAACAACATAATCTGATGATCAACACATGCTGGAGAGCACCTAATGCAGAGGAAACTAATGCACAGCCACTCAAGATAAACATATACATGCATGCACATTCACTTTAATTCCATTTGTAACCAGGATCTACACCATGGCTTTTCATCATTACTTCTCCCATAAAAATATCTATTACAGCTCAGTTACAATTAGTAAAGCTTGCTCTTCTCCATGTCATGTATATAACCAGGAAAACAAGCTGCTTCTTTGTACACCACACCCTAACCGCTGTCCATTACGCCTTCAAAAGCATAACAATTAGACACTCCCTCTGGGAAATCATTGCTTTGAGAGGGTATGCATCTGCAACAAGCTCTTTGCAGCTTGTTTACATGTGATAAACACTGACATCACGGCAGGCAGGCTGCACAGCCCAATTCACTGAGAGTCAACAGCTATGGTACGATCCAGACAGAGTGGATTAACTGTAATCCTCCATATTAAAGAGGCTTCTAGGACAGGAAATTAAGACACTTGGAACATGAATTAAATCTGATGAATGGGCAATCAGTGTGTCTTTCAATCCCAGATACATTTTCAGATACACTGACATTTACTCGTGCTAGCTGTCAGCCATACACACACACAATTCAGTGTCACATTTAGTGCAATTACAGAGAAGGAGAGAAGAAATAGAAGAAAAGAGACAAATATTAGTGAGAGCAAAGCCTATTAGACAAGGCAAAAAAAGTCCAATTAGTGTTGGTGGTAAATGTAGTCATTTGAAGCAATACATTTCTCAGTGTGTTCTATGTTGACCGAGAAAGTTCTCTTGCTCATGGAGCCGTGCTGGCACTGCCTACATGTACCAGGATGCATTGCGTGCAAGCTTCAGATGCCCACGACCACTGAGGAAGCTAAATTCGCTGTTGATCAGAGTTACACAATGTTGCCAAGCAAATGAATTCCTGAAGTTTCTTTTTCACATGTAGCTATATCATTATCTCTCTCTAGCTCTCCAGGGCTGAAATAGCCTGTAGTTCTTCATGACACCAACTACATTACTGTACATGTCAAGTGACAGAAGAAGAACAGATATTGCTGCTATTTCTTGGTCAATATAGCACGCACTGATGGATTTTTTGCTTCAACTGCATACCTGCCAACACACATTTTCCCAGGTTTCTCTCATATTTCAAGGCCATCTGGTGCCATCCCGGTGGAACTCCCGAAATGTGCACGAACCTCAGTCTTTATTATGAATAATCGTCATACAAGGATTTAAGGTCTATTTCAACCCATCTGTTACTGCAGCCTGGCAACATACAACCCCATTCAAAGGGCATGTTCGCAGCGGCTCGGTGCATAAGCAGACTGGCTCTGTCAAAATGTCAGGGTAGGACGACATCTCACCAAAATTGAATTTAAAATAGGGCACAGTGGGAAAAATTACATGACTTACATGTATCATTTATTTGTTACGTTCCAGGGAGTTATACACCTTATCAGTACCAAAGGTTCGTACTGAGCTAGGGAAGAGGGCATTCGGGTACTCAGCACCAACTGATTGGAATGTCCTTCAGAATGTTTTAAAACTCAAAGATCTGATCTCAAAGATCTGATGTTTTTAAATCCACATTGAAAAAGCAAGATTCGTCCAGGTGTTGTTGTTTTAGCTGA